ATACCGGTGACAGTGACTAAACCACTGCGCCATCGCCAGCCTTCTAAATTTGGAATTTCACTTGCATTCTGCCCGAGGCATAGTGAATGGAACAAAAACATTGTGCATTCATAATATAACACGTACCATTCTAGTTTTCCACAACGAGCCTCGTGATTACAATCACGGGTGCACTGCACTATATCACCTAATCGTTCTTCTACACCAGTGTGATGTGATAGTTCGGTTATTCATGTTTGGTTTGTGTCTGAAATGAGTTCAAAGAAAAGTACATCTTTAGCAGTTATCAATTGGAGACTACAATATGATGGTAATTGTATTTCTTAAACATTATCGAATAGCATGCTGTGATGTGTTGGCATTTGAAATACCGTATGTGTTAACTTTCTCCCAATGACAACGCGTATCGATTAGTTGATAAGAATAAGTCTAAAGATGTGTAGGAGGATGAAACTACAGAAGAAGCCAAACAGGTAGGGATTGCAACCTTGGCTCGTGAAATACACTATTTACACCCTCGATCGTTTGTTACTTCAAGGTCTGAACTTTTATCACAGTGTTACTTACCTTTTCTTGTCGGTTCATCTTAAACCAGTTTCACATGTCTTGATTAGGTGTAATCAACTGGTGTCCAGCATCGCTACTGGCGTGTTCCCGACCCCGAAGTTCAAAATTCGAACCTAACCATCACCACACCACACGCAACTTTGATGATAGATACCTTCGCTGTCGTTTTACTCAATACCGCGTCTATCCTTTTGAATTCTCGTACTTTTCGTTTCTCGAATTCGCAGAACTGATATCTCCAGTTCCCATTACCAGACAGTCGACATACTCAGACATGTACGAAAGAAATATAAAGACCAACTATCGTATCTTTCCTTTATGTGACGCATTGATTATGGTTATTCAGGAACTCAGTCTAAGATCTCATACTTCTTAACTTCAATATATATACATTTCATTTCATTCTTTTACAGAACGCATGGAACTGTGTATTGTTTCAGTCCCCGTCGGAGAACAATGTATCGTTGGACGCTTTGGCTGGTTTCATCAATCCCAATTCAACGGAATTGTTGTGTGGTGTTTGCCTGTCCCCGGTTGCAAATGATTTTCAAAAGACTCCGTCCAAGGTCGCTAGTCCCCTTTGTCCAGTTGGTTCAGTTGCACTAGCCGGTAAAATCTACCATACACCGTGTGCGAATCTATGGATCAATCGAGTGCAGCTAAGCTTACCTGCCCTAGTTCCTCCATGAAAATCTGCTTTTGCCTCCATGCATATCCGTTCCATGTATAGTTATTTCGTCCGATTTCTGATGCGTTTATTCTGTGATGGTTCGCGCCCCTGAACCCGTTTATTTATCCATACCAGGCCAAGCAATTCAATGTTGTCTCCGACGCCGCCACCGCATCCCTTCACCTCACCCCCATACATCTTTTGCATTCATGTACATGACCTCCTTTGTGCTTTCTCTTGATCTGTTGTTTCTCTGTTTTCATCTTCATGTTTCGAAAGATCGCTTTGTTGCATAACTTAACTCATTTTCATGCACCTTCTTTCTTGTTCCTGGTTCATCTAATCGTCGTGCATTGATTGATCTGTGCGTGGTAATTTATTTGATCTATATCGTTCCAAATAGAGTATTTTACATGTGGATTTTCTTTCTTGGTCTGCTCTCAGTGTCATGGTGCATTCTATCGTGTGATCATATTCTTTCTTTTCTGTACACCGTCTGAGTTAATTTCTTCCGTATGAGATTATCCTGCTCCGGTCCCCTAAACAAATGTATTTCAAACTGTGGAACATTCTTTTCAGCAAGTAGGTAAGGGAGCAATAAAATAGTGATAATGTGGTTCACTTTTTACCATCAATGTCCCACTGGAAAACCTTTTGAGCACCGTGCCACTGTCTCTTTCTCGTCAAGACTGCACATCTGTCGAGCTAGTACATACAACATTATACATTCGATCTTTCACTATCCAAATGAATCACGTGACCAGTTCAGCGATTCGATTTTGTTCACTCCGTCAGAGGAGGCCGCTCTGCGTCTGTGACAGTCATGCCCAGAGGCCGATGGACATAATGTATCATATGTGTAGTTTTCATGTGAAACGAAATGATGGAGCCAACTGGAGTAGTCCAGTGGAACTGAGTACACTATACGTTCATGTTCTAGCCATCAGACCTGTAGTCGTGCTGATTCACAATAAAGACGAAGTAATTGCACGGTGCCCTCAAACTTTTTAATAGTGTGTGTGTGATATGTTGTCATTGCGTAATGAATCGCGAAAAAATAATCCAAAATCTTTTGCATAATGCGCATTTAGCTCAGAGTTGCTTGTAAGTAGTTGTGTTGGATAATTGATATTGATTTGAACTGACTATCCTTCGGACTTCACCTTCGCGCACAGTCCTCAGTTCATCCATTTAACCACACTCAGAAAGCGCTAGACTCGAGTTTCGCCCTTATTGGAGCTCATCAGTAATGTTTATCAACCATCCTATTCCGCGTTTGAACCTTCGCATAATGGTTGACATTTTCAGTTTTCTTGAGGATGAAAACTATCCACGTTTTATCCCAATTAAGCAGAAATAGGTCTGTCATGAATTTAGTCACCGTTCTTCACCAAAATTAATCAGAGGGCAAATACAAACTGACAATATGCGTCGTGATATATTACGAATGTTAATGAATACTGAAAGGGCATTAAAACCATGATGCCCCTATACCTATGACTTGAACTTTCATCTAAGACTGTCAGTCATCCGAAGCCTCCGGTAGCTAGGAATGAGCCTGTGTCACCTGTGGGATGCTGTAACGGACGATGATAATTTACTTTGCTGCAGCTGGCTCCTTAGAAGGGATAAGCTGGTTCCAGACGTGAGTTTGGTATGAGAAACGTCCCCAGCGTCACTCGGCCTTTTTATTTTGAAGGCGCACCTCTAGCCTTTGCACAACCAAGTGCGAACTACAAGGCAGCAGAAAGTAATCCCTCGCCCTGGAAGTGAGAGGGTCAATGAATTTAGTTTTAAAAGGCCAGTCACATCGACCTTGGTCACGACACCGTCATTGGGCTTATGCGGCTTTTAAACAGGGGCCAGGTGACCAGCCTGAAACCCCTCCACACCCCGGCAGTGCCACCACTGTTTGTTCACGACTGCTTATTTGTTGCGGTATACCACAAGTTATTCACAGCTAACCTTCTTCTGTGAAGATATCCCCCTATCTACAAGCCGGGGACACGCCTGGTAGCATTCAGCTCTGCTTAACCTGACGATAATGATTAATACCGGCAAAGAAAGCCCTTATTCCAGGCACAGATTCCGTCTGAACTGTCTGTGTTCAATAAACTTATAGAGAGGGTGCAACTCCTACTTTGACATACAGGCATTGTTTATCTGACAAATCAATTATAAAGTCTTTTAGTTGTATACGTTTGGTTTCCCGGCAACTACCTTAATTGCAATCAACTATCTTGTGGACTGTGTAATGCGGCCGTACCCGGGGCTCCTCCAGCGCAGCGGAGTAGACATGCGTGACAGGATGTCCCCCGGATCGTGTTCCAGTAGTGGGAGATGAGGCTTAGCGGACGACAGTAGAGGAACGGTGATATGAGTGACGAGGCGACGGGGGTTTCGGAGAAATAGTAATAAACAGTTCTCCCGTGGGTCGGGTTGCAGATAAACCTGCAAGGTTAAGCAAACAGAACTCCAGGAACTCAGAAATTACAGTATGATAAGCATTCAAGATAAAATATTACTGGCGCGGTTGCCAAACGGTACAACTGGCCTTCAATCATAAAACGATACAATGGGAACTATGAATTAGGTATTTGTTAATCTTCACTAAGTGAAGTGCATCAAGTTCAGTGCATCCAAAAGTTAAACATAACCATCCACTTCATCTTGAAATGGAAATTGTTTTTCGTTTCGCTCCAGTAAACTGAATTCATTTTTCCTTGTCCTTCAAAGTGAGCACTGATGATGTTACCTGCACCGGTAATGAAACGACGAAGGTAATTCTTTCGGCCCGGTGAACGGGTAAAAATGAAATTCGGACGACCTTTACTTCCAGAGAACTCACATTTTCCATTCTGGTGGGAACGGCGAACGATTTAAGTCACTGGCGTGTTTCGGGCACCAAGCGCCTATATTCACACCCTATCATCACCCAATTTTGGCTTCAGGTATTACCACTATCGATGGTACACTATCATTACCCGTATCTACTTTGTTATTCGAAGTTTCAGGAAGCCGGGTACTATAACTTAACATTAGGTCCTCGTGACTGTGTTATGCACTCATTCTACGTTAGCTTTTCAAAACAATAAGCCAACCCACACACACACATAACTCCTTGATTGGAGGTCTGTGGAAATCTTCCACATCAATTGAACACCCTTGACAATCTCTACCGAAAGGAGTTTTCACTTTCGTTTCTGGTCATCGAACGTTAGGCGCATCGTACAGCGAAATACAGCCAAGCAAACTTCTCTGATTTCTGCCATTATTTCGGTGTACCATAGAGTAGCAGTCGTACATGAGGTTGAAGTCTTCTCCGGAAGTGAGTCGCCTTTACTCAACTTGTTTATGTACTCATCCCCTCCGGCGTGTGAGGCCTCGAGTTTATCTGCTGCATTTTTTCAACTGTAACTGGTGCGCATCGGCTGGTTCCAGCCTGTCCATCACATTTTCGTCATTTTCTCCCGTCGAAAAAACATGGCAGTCGTTCACGATTCCGCTGTGTTGTGTGTGTAGTCCATCGACCATGCTTCTAGGCTATCCAAAATGAGTAGCTTTTCGTCTGTTTAATGCCTGTTGAAATTCACGTTATCAGATCAGTGCAATCCGCCTTCTGACTAGACATCCTAGTCTCACGCACACTTTACCGACCTGACATTCTTGCTCTTTGATAAAGTATTAAAAATTGGTTCTTGTAGCTCGGGCGAACTGAATTTAATTGCGCCTGTGGCCACTTCACAAGCACTGATGATGTTACCCAGATTGGTAATGAAACATTCGTAAACAAATTGCCAAGCTCGGCGAACAGGCGAAATTGAATTCTTGCTCTCTAAAGTGACCGGAATTAAATGCCTGATCGGGATGATAATTTCACCACTAGCAGTTGTTCAAGATTATCTGTGTATGAATACTTCCGATGTTGATTATTGAGAGCATAGATGAATCATGTGTACTCTCTCATCTGTGTCCACCGTTTGGTGGTCACGCAGTGCCCATAGTTTCCTGTTAGTTAATAGCTTGGCTCCAAATGAGCAAAGTTGAGCGTCCAATGAGATAATTATTTAAAATTAGAGGAAATAGGTAAAACCGTGTATTATTATCATTGGTTCTCTTTGCTTTTACAGGCTACCGAGGACGAAACTAAACTGTCCGTCTTAGATGGTGGTTCGAGCCAGATTGATCGGAATGCGAAACTTTGTGAGGCACTCGAACGAAAAATCGATGCATTGGTGCAAACGAATCGTCAACTGGCTGGCCAAACTGCCTTCTTATCGTCATCCCTAATTTGTATTCTAGACGAGCTAGATCGGATATCGGCTGAGAAAGAATCGGAATCTTCCGAGACACAGTTGACGAATAAAGTGCGAAGACAATTAATTCGTATGGGGTTTCTGCCCCCCGTCGCCCAATTACCGAATGCTGCAAACTCATCAATAGTGCTTAAACGTCCAGCAAGTCCGATGCACGAGTTAGTCACTAAAAAAGCGCCACTTATTGAAGATAACAAACAGTCTACAGAGGCGTCGATGCCCAGCGGTGGGGTGAAACTCTCAAATAAACACCTGCTCAAGACAGAGAATTCGGGTAAATTTGCCGAATCGGTGGAATTCAAAGATGAAGAACCGGACGACTATGACGATTCCGATGCAGATTCGGAAACTATCCGGGCGGCGTTTCGTTTGTTTGCCAAACAGATTGGTCCCGCCCTAAAACGGGAACACCGGCAGCGATTCGGCACGGCCCCTACGCAGTCCTGGTTGGCCGATCAACTCCTTGCTCGCTGGGATGCACTGGATAGACGGGAACGTCGAATTTGGCACCAAGGTGTTCTTGGACAGTGTTGAGCGGAACCGCGTTTCTTGTGATCTGTACAATTGCACCCTGGAGTCTTCTTCCCTTTCCCTACCATATCCCCAGATATTGTCTTATTGTATATAGTTGTAATATACATATTTCACCCTGGAACTTCCGTTTCTGAAGGCTTGATTGCGCAGTTACTAGTTATATTCTGCCAATTACTGAGCGATTTTCAACATTAGTTATTGTTGATATTTTCGAGAGTGAGGTAATCTAGTCGTAAAGCTGATACGGGTGATGCCACCCCGAGGGTTTGTTTCATTGTGACGTGCCGAGATCAATAGTTCACACAATACGTGGATTGGGACTTGAGCACACCTGGCTGGAGGTGACCAATTGTCTCGAGTGATTCATCTGTTCAGGTGTATTTACTAAGTAATGAAAAAGACATTGCCCAAAATTAGATTCTCGCTCATCAAACACAGGTCCACATAGCAAAATCTGAATAGGCTTTCGAATCATTTATGAAGTACCTCCTCATCCATCCAAGTCATTGCCTCCCCACATCCTGGCTAATCTGGAGGCGTTCGGTATCCCTTTCTTCACCCCTAAAATATCATGTGCTCAACAAGGTTTGCTCAAGCCATCCAACAGCCACAGGTTTATCACACGCGCACCAGCTATCACAACCCGAGATGTAAAAGTTTCGTGACGTAATCGTGTGAAACGCGATGCGTCCGTCCACCTACCTCTTAACAAACAATATGATCTTCGATGGACTGGAAGTGGTTACTCCTAAACACGCCGCTTTGCCGTATGATCAGGGCCTAATTTTAGATGGATCGGCAAATTGTTCACCCCTGAACGTGTATCCTTTTATAAGCGTGTAGGTTTGGATCCCAATCAAAACCTATTGACCTATATCACAGATTGTAAAAGAATATAGCGTTTTGATGATCATACATGTCCAATGTTAAGTGATAAACACCCTGGGTAAGCAATTAACTCTGGCTCGCTTGTGAGAAATCCAAAGCGGACACGGAATAAGTTAGTTAATATCAGCGCTTATACTAGTTGGGCTATCTTTGTTAAAAGCTGATCTGCGTGCACTGAATCGCTTCTGTAAAACGTTGGTTAGAATGAACATTTACCTTGGTAGGGCACTTTCTTGATTAGGTTGTATACGTGTATTAGTGGTAGGGATTTCCTCTTCCGAGTTCTGCAGTCAATTTGTGTGTATCTAACCAAGTTGTTTTATTCACCTTTTGAGTGTGGAGTCTTACGATGATAGGCCTCATGAACTTTCTGTTTTGAATATCGCTTTAGTCTCTCAGTTGCGAATGGCATTTCGTATTTTTTGCCATTGTTTTCTCTTCATAGTTATTCTCCACAAATTCGGGAAAGACTGTATTGTTCCGCAAACTTCCTACCTGATGAACTCTTCAAACGAAAATCACCTGGCTCGATTGGGTATCAATGTGAATCGTTTGGAATCGGAGATGAATGCTGCTGTGGCTCGGGATACGCGCTACTGGTTGGAAAATGATGCGAAAATTCGTGCGGTGGAACAACGAGTTCCCACCTATGAACACTTTAGGTTGGTTTCAGATTCTCTGCAATTCTGTGCACATGCTAACCCGTGTTTTTCCCCGCTTGAAACCGTTAGCCACGTCCGGTTCTCGTTTAAATGGATTAGTAATGTGTGAACACGAATTGTTTGTTCATTTTATCCGGTTTTGCTAAAGTCGACCACCGACTATAGAAAAATCAATCAGATACGTTAGCGCCACCGTTGAGAAATCTCTCTCTAAATACCTGTAATTAGCAATAAAGAAGATTCGTTTCAGAATAGTAGAAATTTATGCATTTTTATTCTTCCGTCTCCTGGATAAAGATAAACTGACCTCGTGGTGTCCCATGGAAATCTAGTATAAGTGGTGTCACCCAGTTTTGCTTTAAAGTGCTCATCTCTAATAGCAGTGTTTTGGTGCATAGTTACCGGTTGCTCTCCTGGAACCCAGTCACCTTTCAATAGATGCATTTGCACTCCTGTTATTTGTAAAAGCTCCGTTTAAGCCGTTAGATTAGGCAATCTGCCCATCAAAGAGTAGTTGCCTTTGTAGATTGCACGCCATTTCGCAGAGCTGTAGTCCGCCTGTCGAGTGGGTTGTCGAAGTGTGACCGCTGGAGCACGTCTCAGCTTCTTCAACCCCCCCCCCCCCCCCCCGGGNGAGGTAGATAAATGATGTTAACCGAAGACGTGAACGATGCGCAAAAACGGGAATAACAGTTCACCAGCTCTGATGTAGTACTTCAGGCAGGTAACCCCGGATACGCCCGAAACTGTGGAGAAACGTTAGCTGATGGATTTTGTTAAACGATCTAGTTTCTTTGATCATCGATGTTCCTGCGATTGCGTCCATTGCTGCTCACACGTGATCACGTTATATAAGTCTTGCCAGCCGGATATGAGGTCTTATTTAACTGCCTTTATGAGTATAAATAATGGCGTTTATGAATATTGGTAACAGATGTATGTCGTACACAAAGCAAACATACGGGCATTCACTTTCCAACCGTGAGGATTCATTCAAAGAGCGTGCACAATTATTCGTCATGTTCTGCCAAGTCGATCTTAACCCAGATTCAATGAAAAAGACGAACGCCTCTCGTTAAACGACTCAGTTTACCCAGTCCGGCCAGCTCAGTAAAAACGCGTGGAACTACCAGGTGATTTGCAAAATGGGAAACACACTGCTGAGTCGAATTTCAGTTGCAGTTCAGTCCCAATTTTTATCCAACCAAACTGCGACAAATGGTAAACCTTGATCGCAATTTACAAACTCATTTCACACCTCCACATGAATGATCTGTGCATCTGGGTTGGGGGGGGGGATGAGTAGATCGCTTTGTTTTGACCTTTCGCTGCTCGTGAAAAAACCAGTCACATGTGTCAGCCATTGCGAGGTGGACTTAATGGACGGTTTGACTGAACGCGTCAGATTTGAGTATTGGGGAAATATGCGAAGAATTTGAGCGTATCGATCCGTTAAAGAGAAAACCGGCCACTGTATATTTCTTTCATTGTACACTAATTGGGATAACTTTTTGCTATTTGTTTTTACGTCGGTGATAAATAAATGGAGTTCAATCACACGTGATTCTTTCTATTTATCAAGGATCGTTCGACTCAGCATTCTGCTAATCGTCTTAACCGTGAATTGGGGAATATTGAAGACAAATAATGCTATTGGTTTACCTACGAATGTGTATGAATTTACTTTGATACTTAGATTGTTTAAATCTGAATAGACAAAACAATTGTTTGCGAACCTTATCATAGACATCAATAATAGTGCGGTGACATCATCATCTTAAGGAATGATACCAAGGAGTGAGCATCGTTGATCACTGTCAAGCTCTCAGTGTACACAGAGTTAGAAAGTACTAGAAGGATAGGGGTTGGGTCTAAATGGAAGGAGACAAAGAAAGTGAACCTCTATGGTCAACACAGAGTACACAATTTAAGTGTGCATACATACCGTTTCAAGCATTCTGACCTGATAAGAAATGATAACAAGAACGCCACTGCTGTCGGTTCGCTGACAAATCCTTCAGTGTATCCAACCAAATACTTACAGAGTCCTTCGAACCCCAACCTGGAAGACGGGAGACACCTATTCTATCTAATCGCTCTGTGCATTTCTTCATGTCCCGTCTCCATGTCATCTTTTAACCTGAACGTGGTTTCCTCTAACCTGGAGAAGCAACTGCGTGTAAGGCGCGATGAGGTAGATGACAGCTGGGTATGCGCGATACGTGTCCTAACCATCGAAGCCCACTGATCTGAATTCTACGTGATAACGAATTTTCTACCGAATCATTACCAAATACGACTTACCTCAGAGTTACTCACGCGCTCATAAAATATTATGGGTGGTTTACTTTGCCCTCAATAAGCTTTTTTTGTTCATCCACTATAAAGTTATTTATTTTCTACTAACTGATTTGCGGGTTTGAAGACACAAGCATTTTCGCATCACTGCTAATTCATCCCTGGTCCCTGGCTGCTTTCGAAAACCATTTGTTTCACTCCGAACGGATCCGGTGTGAAGGAAGTGCTGAAGGTGAAGCGGACGTTTTTCTCTTTAACGGATTGAGATGCTCGAATTCTCCGCATGGGTTCCCAATGCTCAACTCTGACGCGTTCAGCCAAACCAAATGCGCTTTGTCACCGTCCGTTAAGTTCATCTCGCAATGGCTGACACCTGTGACTGGTTTTTCACGAGCAGCGAAAGGTCAAAACAAAGCGACCTCCTTTCCCTTCTCCCAGATGCACAGATCATTCGGTAGGGGTTGTGAAAAAAGCTTGTGAGCTGCGTTCATCCATTGCCATTTGACACAGTTGGATCGGATAAAAGAACACATCAACCGCAGCTGGAATTCTACTCCGTAGTGTATTTCCCGCGTAGCGAATCACTTGGCGCTAGCACTGGTATGTGTGCCCCGCTGACTACTCACATGAAAACAAGATAGATGCATGCGGAATGAGATACCTTAGGCCCAATGGTACTGCCTTGGAGATGTTTTTATGTTCGTAATCACTGATTCGTCGCTCAGACCTCACATTCCAACTCATTCAAGTGTGAGTCGAGATTCAAAAGTCACTCTGGATTGAATTGACGTAGCAACCGGATCATAATGTTTCGGGGTTGAAATTCGTGAGGGACAATCATGGGGTTTGTAGAATATTCCCACAGACAACGTGGAAAACAGTATTCGCGAATAAATTTCTTTTTGACATATCGTATCAGGCGTTTATCTATATAGGGCGATCATAGCACAGATATCCGTTTGGCTGATTACAGCTCAGGTTATTGTGAACCGATCATAATTGTTAAGTCAATAATCTTGGGACACACTGTTACGCTTACCTAAGAATTACTCTTTGTGTCTGTGGGACACGTTCTGAATGTCTTATGGAGTTTGATATCCTCGTGCCCTTAATCATCTTCTGAGGATCTACTGGAGATGGTCACGTGAACGTGCATGCCGTTTCACTATTTCGTTGTAGCCAGATGGAGACCGATATTAGTGAGTTTTGTGTGAAGACCGTCATGATTTGATTACGTGTACGATCATATCCCCTTGGCGCCTGTTCTTCCATTCTAATTATTTTGGATGTTTCTTGCATGTTCATATTGATTTTCTCCTTCAATCTTTCGATCAGTAATCGATCTTACTCTCTATTGTATAATTGCATGATTCGCTATCTCTTTCTAGCATGCTTGTGTAGCAGTTTTTCTAAATGGTCATAACCCTCGCTTGGTAACTCACTTGTGTCTATGGTGCTGAGCAAAATTTGACTACAACTATCAGATGGTGCGAGTTTTATCGTAACTTTCCATCCGTTTTCCCTCTTCCGTTCTTCATTCGCTGGCTTACCATTACTTTCTCATGCTATCTGTTTGGAACTCGTCATTATTTTCGTCAATACCTATTGCCAATGATTATTGCCCATCCGTCACTGACTCCGATAGGTTGAGATGGGCTACATATGAAAGTCAATAAACTCTTATCAATAATGCAAAGTGTATTCTCGTACTACCCGGACTGGGAACCTTTGATCAATCGTGGTTTGTTTCTGAACGACATATTTCTCAACCTATCAATTCACGGAATTCGGTCACATCTGCCTTTCTAACAGCAACTCATGCGTACCTCCATTTCAGGACGACAGTGAAACTTGTGGTGCACATTCATGTACTACCAGTTCCGTATTTTGCTTCGGTTTTCTTTCAGCAGCCATTAAGCAGCCTGTACTGTACTGTGCATAATCTCCCGCACTCAAAATTCTCCTGTAGCATTTATTATTCTGTCTTGGGTGTATATGAGGCTGAAAGCCAATCTCTGACCAATACACCAGTCCGCACACATCCCGGTGACCTCACAAGAAACGCGTCACATTGCGGTTTCCATTGTGAATTCCAATATCGATGGTACTTCCGTGCGTAAAACTACAAAGCAAAACCACTTTTCAGTGATGTAGTCTCTTACATTTCTCTAAAATCTCTGGCAGGTGAATGGGAGATAACATTTCTTTTCTCTCTCTCTGTTTTTTGGCTAACAGGGCTGCATTGTGTTTTCCAGTTTGCGAGATAACGAATTGTCATTTGTTGGGCTCGCTTGGGATCATAACATTTTTCGACGGTTTCATCTTCTTTTTGTTATTCTAATCGCATTCTCTCAATTTCGATCTCTTTCTTGGGGACGTTCAGACAACTAGTAGCCGGTTGTCATTTGTGTCCCCTGGACAAATCGGAGCTGAATGATCTGGCTAAATCGAAGACGAGCTGGAATCCCGCCATCGGAACTGGTTGTCATGTGCGTTCGAGTGTCCCATCTAATGACCCGGAACAAGGGGTGAGTGAACGAATAGCGACAACCACACTTTCGCCCTCATCATAAACCCCTGAGGGCTTGAGCCCATTCCCCTAGCTATTTTTCATACTGAACAAAATGGAAATGAGTTGCTCAGATTCTTTCTGTCATATCAACTGTCCCCATAATGCGCATCCACGGGGTCCCTTCCGTTTTCCGACGGGCGTGTTTGGGTTCAAAACAAAACTGTATTGAATTCAGTTCATCTCTGTCGACCATTTCTGTTTCCCAATGATTTCACAGTTCTGAGTTCTGTCTGGGATAACGAATATATAAAGGAAACTCAAAAAACTAACATCTGAATATCAGTTTAAAAGGTGATGAATTCACAACACTGTTCTGTATCACACTTAGTGTATCGTTGATGTGAACTGAACATCTTTCAGACATACATTCCTCAATTCATCTAGTCAACCATACACTCGGGAAGCACTAGATTCGAGTTTTGCTCATATTAAAGCTCATCGGTAGTGCACGTCCACCGTCTCGTCCGGGATCTGAACTCCGGACCCATCGTATGGAAGGTGAGTGAGTTACCATTGTGCCAACCAACTCATGCCATTGCTGGACCTAATAGCCAGTTCGTGCTTGTTCAGGTGTCGTCTTCAGAGATGGTCAGTCAGTTCAATTTTGTCAGACAGCTACGACGGGAAACTACCTGTTCACTCCATTCGAAAGCCTCCCACCAAATTAGGTCTTCCATGCATTTTACAAGCCAACTGGCCACAAACCTACTAGGCTGGGTTAGTAGTTCACATTTAACTGGCAATTACCTGTGAGTAGTCTTTTGGGATAACTGGCAATAATTGAGTGATTAGAACCAACCATCTCTCAACCTTCATCTTCACACAATCCTCTGATGGATGGTCAGTTCTAATCAAACAGTATCAGTTATCCCACACGACTACTCATATGTAACTGTGAGTTAAATGTGAATATGCTTGATCATTGGAAAGAACATCCTCCGTTGTACACTCCCCGACGTAAAAATGTCAATATAGTTTTAATCGTTCGTCGAATTTTTTTTTGCCGTTCGTTTATTTGCACTCTTACGTATACAGAACTTTCTGAAACAATGTCTTATCCCATGTTTGTCACAGGCGAATGAAACCGTTCAAACACCGCAACACTTCTATGCACGTTGGCAATCTCTGAGCTTGTCGAGGATAGATGAACAGGAAAAGGTATCGCAATTGGCCATTCTAGTTTTCCAGCAACCAAAGTCTGTACTGCGAGAAGTGTTTGATTGCGGTCTTGGTGCCACTTTGCTACCTGAAGTATTGTCAGTCTTCAATCGTCTCATCAAGGCCGAGTCGACTGACACAGACTTGAACAACCAGCTGACTGGGAACATTTTCAATGCGTTGGTTGCATTTGTCGAATCTAAACAATTTCCGCTTGCAGTCGATCTGTGCTCGGACGAGGAAAAACGTGTGGCTTTGTCCGTGCTTTCTCATCTGTCACAGAACCTCAGTTGTGGAACACAGAACACCGGGGATACTCTTCACGCACTGAACGCTCATTTTACGTGACCATCCTAGTGGTTGTGCCCTGATGTGTGATATGTTTCGCGTTTCCCTGGATCCACTTAACTTCTGATCTCTCTCTCTCCTTGTTTCGCATTGCGGGGACTTGTTGTTTGCCAGTGTGATCACAAAGAATGACCAATTTGGCCATTTAGTTGTGATTTGGCTGTGCGGTTTTGCATACCACTGTATTTTCTTCCATCTAACTGGACCAATGATATAGTCTTAGTCTCCGGTTTTCTTTCATCCTATCTTATCTACTATTAAAATGCTACCAGGAAGTATTTGATCCCCATAAAAGTGAAACTGTAATCCATGTTTTTGTTTCACTAGTCAAAAATGAGTCATAATTCACCTACCGTTCGGTGACCAGCTGCGTTTCGCCCGTTAACCGATCTCATTGGTTCCGCTCTTCTATGGTGGTGCTCACTAATCCAATCCTCTGTGCACTTTGCATTGGTAAATACCCTTTTTAATCGATGCAAGGAAGCTTTCATTGCCTTCATAGGAAAAGAGAAAAAATATTTTCACGGGAAAACAAGAATCAGATTCGGAGCATGCCGGAAAATCAAATCACCATTAAAAAACCTCGGTTTGGCATTTTTGCACGCATTCTAACAATAATACAGGTATTGATCAAACTCGTACAGCACCCTCACTTTTGTCAGACTTCCTCCTCCCAATACTTGGTGTTTTGTAGCCTCACTCGCGGGATTGGATATGTTATTGACCCACATCAGTCACAACATATCTGTACTAATATCCACTTTACCTCTGTTGGGTGAATGACATTAAAGTATGTACGAACTCTCGACTTCGACGACGATTGTTGATGCATCAGTTGTAAGATAATAAAAAAGGATAGCTGAAATTCAGTTATCAAACCGGGTTACAAACATGATGCCCCGGTATTGTACTTCCATTTTGTCAATGTAATATTTGCCTGTCCGAAGCGCTGCATTTCACGCTGCACGATTTCACTTTTGATAAACCGCCGGAACAGTATTCGTATCTTTGAATGAAACGTAAAAACAGGTATTCCTGCTAATCCATCTGGGAAATTTGGTCATGTCTCACGCTAGACGATCGGAAAACCTGTGGTCTTGTGCAAAAATGAGACTTTGCGAATGGTACAGATGCAAGATAAACATATGGAATACGGACGGACGGATAAAGTGGAATCGAGATGTACCTCGTAGAATTATTGTTTGACTAAGATAGGTCCTATTTACTTTTCTTGGGTTATGTTTGACTTGCATGTTGAGCTGCAACCGTACTCCTTTATTCCAGCAATGTTCATTCTGTACAGTGCGGAAACGTGGAGTAGTTTCACATGTCTGGTTAACATTTTGATTCACAATTCAATCGCATTCCGTTTATTCGTTCAAGCATTTTGCCCGAAACCGCCAGAAATAATATGTTCAGTGCATTGTTCCATGCTGCTACTGATGCGCAGTTACTCCGTACCGTCACAGTGGATCTTTCCTGCACACACACACACAGAAACGTAAAAGGCTAATCAAAGGTTTTGGTTGTTCCATTTTCTTTTCGTTCCCCATCCTTATTGCAATCAGTCTGTACTCCTTCGTCTTCCCCCACTTTGCTGGGACCCAAACTGAAGGTGACCAAAAAGGTTTGAAAATGAAATCACTTCGGACTTGTGTTCGAATTTTGGCGACTAGTTAATCCTGCAATATTTTAAGTAACCCAACACTGGCTAAAGTTTCCAGGACACAGAGAGGTTGCTAAGTTTTCCGGATAGTTTGCTTAGCTTTTAATAAAGTGACTGATCGACTGGATTAACCTTGAGCTGAACCCTCTTCGATTGTTACTACCCAGTAATTGAAATGCCCAGTACTAATTTTGCCTACATACGACCGTTTGTGGTTGATTTTCACGCACGGTTGGTGCATCGGTAGACAGGTTGACATGAATGTGATTGCCAGCATCTGGGGGCAGTATTTTCCATTCTGATGCAACCCCGTAATAGAACGTTGAAGTTTGTTTGATTCGATATAACGAGGCTGTTTTAGCGGCACGTTTGTGTGTGTGTGTGTGTGTGCGCGCGCGCGCGTGCATCAACAATCCCAAACCAGATCGTGATGTGCACGTTTAATTGTAACTTGTGTGACGCCAGACGAAACGGATTGGCTCGCTTTGAAGGCTGACTCCATGAAAACAAACCCAACACCAGTTGGTGAAAGTGGGCATTCGAATAGGTTGCTTCTGCTGGCTGATTCAATCAATACCTGTTAGTTATAAATCTGTCGTTGGAATTCTCGAATTACTCGCCGAGATGCGGGGCTATTCGATGGATAGTTCACATCGATAAACGTCTTCAGAAACAAGGTCAGTGTTTCCGTGATTTTTGCCATGCTTCAGTTAACAGTGGACCACCAAAATTCATATTTTAGGGTTAGTAGCATAATTGTGGTTTGATTATTGTCCTTTGCGAGCCGTGTGGTCTGTCGGAAAACGATTCCGTTTTTCGTATGCATATTCAACTTCGTCATGTGAACGACTCAAGATTTGCAGCCGCCGATGTTCGATGTCATAGATAGAGATGGTGTCCCCGCAAATGTCCTTGCATGAACTTTGCTGAAACTAAATCCTTCCACCTCACCCCATCTCATTCGTAGTTGCTAATCTATAATGTGAAGCAAGCAGCGAACGATTCCGTAAAGGTTATGCAGAGTAGGAGTCCTTCTTCTTTCGATAAGGAGTTGAAAGGTCCTGGAAACTGGTTGATGGGCAACGCTGAAGGATGGGTATGAAGGCAGTGACGGCTGATCAAACTGATCTTTTTGACGAATCACATGTCCGAACCGGTAACATAAGCGAGTCAAACAGATGAAATCGATATGGCTCAACATTAGACCCCTTATTGGCAGACATATGGCAAAGTTGGAGAATGAGACATTTTCCACCTGTATCGACCAGTGTGTCCTATACGGACGGGCGTTACACTCATGCTATTATTTGTGTTACTGACAATTCACGGAATCCCTCAACGTTTTTGGACAGTTTCAACCGGGTTCATCCTAATAAAAATTTCACACGAGAGATGGAATCTGCTCAGGGAATGGCGTTTCTTGATATTTACTTGTCACGCCGCGAGGATGGCTCCCTTGAACGAAGTATAGACAGGAATAATACGTGGACCAGACAATATACCAATTCTCATAGTTTTGTCCCGATGCAGCGTAAGCGCAGCCTAATCCAATGCATCGCCAATCGTGTGAGAAGGATTTGTTTTACCGACACGGTGAATGATGAATTGGCAACGGTTAAGTCAACATTCCTAAAAAATGGATACCCAGAGAAACGTGTCGATTGTTGTATGAGAGCTTACTTTGCAAATTCAAAGAACCCCACAGTGTAGAATGTCTAGGTTTACATTTCATTGCCTTTTAAAGGTGACACCCTTGCGAGGACAATGAGCAAACGACTGAGGATTGTAGTAGAAAATAGTAAGTTCTCAACCGAATTGCGTATATCCTACTCTTCCAAATCAGCTCTCGCATTACAAATGAAGGACAGGCTGCCGATGAAGATGACCTCTTTTTTGTGTTTACCAGTTTACTTGCTCCTGTGGCGCACCACCAGACGCATGGCCGATCGGATGAGAGAACACTACCCAGGTTGGCTCAGCCGGGGACCGATAAAGGCAGGTGCGATGGCTGTTGCCATACATTTGGCCGAGACGAATCACACCGTGGATGTGCAGGAATCGCTCCGTCCAATCTATTTACTGACCGGGATTCGGTCTAATGATGTGAAAGCTCGATTGTTATCTATAGCAGAGGCGATAGCAATTAGAATAAACAACTCCCCCATATTGTGTGCACACAAACAGTTCGTTAAATCCCTTTCCCTCCCATGACCGTGTGTCCGAAGTGCTCCCATCTAACACTTCAGTCGAATATTCACACTCCGCAAGGGATTATCACAAATCTTGCGGTCAGTGTTAATACATCTCCCTCCCAACCCATGAACGTCCATTTTACACATACTAAAACCCTGATTTGACTGTCTCCCTGAGTTATATAATGTGCTGTAATTGATAGGTAGTTAAAGCACTGAAACCAAGCTTGTTCGCCACATCTCTGCTTTCTAATAAGCGAATAAGCAATAAGTACAGTAGAACTTATTCAAATTACAAAAACAAAAAATCCATCTCAATCGAAGTTTCAAATTATTCTCAATTTCGTGCCATGTTACTTATTCGGCTTCAGTATTCAGAACAAAAAGATCCTCATTGGTTTTATTTCTGAGAAACATGTGTGTTACTGTCGTCATATTTTGAGGTTGAATAGCGGTTATCGCTGTGTATGCTAGCAACATGATCGAGACTTGTGTCTATTCGACAGACTTGAGTATGTTGTCAGGTGTCTACGTACTGATGCTACCCATTGCGGTGGATTCCGTTATTAAATTGCATGTATCTCGATCAGTCATCCCTCAGTAGATTGCAGGTTGTTCACTTGATCCGTGTGAGCCTTTCACATGATACACTTGTACGGAGTTCTTATACTTTGATCTGAACCATTTCTTTTTTACTTTTACTGGTCGAATTATTGTTTTTGACTGTCCCGTAACAGGAACTGTACACACACACACACTGGGGGAGGTTTTCCGCACGGGAGAGGACATTGCTTTATCTATGGATAACACAAACTAAATCAGCGATCATCACGATCCAGTTTCGGTTCTCGTGGTGACGGATTTAAAACGTATTGGATCCATGTCAAACTGCGCTGCCTTTAACCAGGTTGCGATCAAGTCTGGAAGAACATAAATCCATTCGTCTGAGAGGCCAAAGATGCATTCAAGCTGGTCTAACACTTAATAATTATTTTGCTGTACATCATTGTGTGATGAACACCAGAAAGGCTTAACTCCGTGGTCAGGTCGAACTACTGTTCAGCTACGATCACCGGAATCCTACACCCGGTGACTGGAGATGCGAACCGCATAGTGTTCAAGTGGGATTTAAATAGTATTTC